CTCTGTTGGAGCAGGGGTTACATACTTAGCAGTAACCAGAAGGTCAGTGGTCTAACCCCCCAGCTGTTCTGCGAGCCTCCATAAGTATTTATAACTCTGGAAACCACAGGGGGCCGTTCTGCTCTGACTTGCAGGCTCATAAGTGTTGGAATTGATATGACGACAATGGGTTTGGGTTTGAATATTTTAAACAAGAAACCCTTCAAGTCTTTATTTTTATAACTGTGTTGGTTTTATGTATCTGAAGTACTTACTGTTCTATTTCCCATCCATTTCAGGCCCTATTTCAAACTAATGCCATTATGTAATATAGCTGTCAGTATAATGCATTGAGTTTTGTTCAGATTTTCAAATTCAGTTTACAAACTGATACCAAATCATTAACACTCCATAATATTTTATGGCTTTATCATAGGAGAACAGTAATGTTACCTTATTGAGATAAATAGGCTTGTCAAAAAACAGAATAGGTGGAATTATGCAAATACTTAACAGATGTGTTAGGTTATTATTTTTCTGGATCTTAATATGACAACTACATTCTACTGTTGTAACATGATAACAATTTTCTCTTTCACCATATACAGAATTCACATTCTGTTTCAGTGCAGGTTTTGGCACCTTATAAACCTTTAATTACAAAACTTAAAGCATCAGTAGATACTAAGTTATGGTATGCATTATATATCTGAGTTCATATCTATAATTAGTTGATTTTCCTATTTTATTTCCGATATTGAACTTTGAAGTTATACTTGACATTGGCAAAGCTTGAGAGCCGTTGCCCCGAGGTGTTGTATGTAAACTGGCTTCATATGCTCTTAAATACCAGAGTGCTCGTCATATAGACTCCTTTTCTGTGTCCTCGGTTTCTTTTCCTTTTTCCTTTTAAGCAGGTTTATTGGGATATAATGCACATATCACACAATTCAATAGTTACTTATATCACTCGTTTTACAATCATTACCACAATCATTTTCTGAACATTTTCTTATGTCTTTTATTCCTTGCTATCAGCTCCCCATTCCGTCCACCCAACCTCTGCTGCAATACCTCAAGAGTCCATTAATCCCATTGCTGTCCCTATAATATCACCCATCTTGGATTTCTTATACTGAAAAACATACAAAGACGCAAAAAAAAGCTAACAGTAATAACAAAATAATATCAAGCGGAACCTCAATTGAAAAGAAACCAGAAAATATTAAAAACTAGAACAGTAATAGGTTGAAAGGAAGATCAAATCATAAAGTGCTAAATTTTAACCTAACTCTGTCTGCCGTAATCTGCTTTCCAAGGCACTCGCCACGAAAGCAAGGCTGTTTGGTTTCTTGGTAAGCAACGCATGCACTGTCTCCTCCCTTTTCCAGAGTTAAAGAACCATTACTAATTTCATTTCTTCTTTTAAAAAATTATGATATATTTTCATTTCCATCATTTTATTGGGGGCTCTTACAGTTCTTGTATCATTCCATACATCAATTGTATCAAGCATATTTGTACATATGTTGCCATCATCTTTTCCAAGACATTTTCTGCTTGAGCCCTTGGTATAAGCTCCTCTGTATCCCCTCCTTCCCCCATACTCCTACCTTCCTTTACTCTTGATCAGTTATGTACTGTTATTGCTATTTCGTATCCTACACAGTCATTTATCTCCTTTCATCCCCATTTCCGTTATTCATCATTTCTGCTATGTAGACTACTGAGTTTCAAGAAAAGTGTCTTTAATTAATTTTTGCATATTTTCTTAACTACTAATATTGGATACATTTCAGGGTTAATAACTGTCAGAAAAAAAGAGAATCACTAATAAATTATTTTACTATCTTCTGCTTAAGTATCATATAAGCAAATTGATATATTTATGTCTAGCTAAATGGTATGCTTTAAAAACAGCCATTAAGGAATATAATGCTTTAATTTTTATAAACAAACTATGACAAGTATACCTAATTAAGGCATGAGTTTAGCCGGGTATCCTTTAATTTTCAGTGTACCACAGATTACTAAATTCTTGTTTTACTCTCATTCAAATGTACTTTAATCTCATGTCTACGTTTCTGTAGAGATAGCATATACATGCATTTCTTTGGTAATGCCTCCTATTTTTAAATGTAATAATAACATTACATTAATAACATTACATTAATAATAACATTAATGATTTAAGACCACAAAATTATTTTTTTAATGGAGTTGAGAAAAATCACAGAATGTTAGGTAATAAATTATGAAAGTGATACAGTTTTTGTTTATTTTTTCACTTATTGAGGAAGAGGCATACAAACCATGTTTGGCTTCTTTCAAGGACCAAAAGTGAGGCGAGTCTAACTCCCTGTCTGCCCAGGATGATTCCCAAGGCAGCGGGCACACAGGCTCCCTCTTCTTCTGACTCCGAGCACTGTCCCCGCGGGCTGCTCCGCCGTTCTAGTGGGCTTGACCAGCTGAGGCAGTGGCCACTGAGATCACAGGAATCCTCGATTATGGAGTTGAAAGGAAGCTCAGACCTCTGGGCTGTCGTGGTTCTACATCGGCTGCTAAGCACAGGAGAAGCAGTTTGAGCTCACCAGCTGCTGTGCAGTAGAAAGACGTGGCTTGCTCCTCCCTTCTGGAGTTGCTGCCGAGAGGACAAACACCGTTTGAGAAGCTTAGCCAACGTGCGCCATCTAGGCAAGGATGGTCAGCCTGTGTCTTACGTACTTTAGACTTGTCAGGAGAGACTGGTCTCTGGGGACATGCTTGGCAAAAGATCGGGGGGCAGTGACAAAGAGGCAGGCCCTCAATGACATGATGGACAGCATGCCTGCAACAATGGGCTCAAGCAGAGGACAATCATGAGGGTGGCCCAGCACCGGGCAGAGTTTTGTTCTGTTGTACTTAGGACAAAAGTGGGTCAGAACCAACTGGATGGCACTTAACACCACCAACAACAAAGATTTATAGCTTTGGAAACCCACGTGGCCAGTTCTGCCCTCTCCTATGGGGTCCCTGTAAGTCAGAATGGATGCGAGCAGTTTTTCCGTTGGGGTTGATTTGGTGTGAAGTGGCAAGCTACCAAACGTTAGGACACAGTTCTTTTGTCTGCGGTGCCTTTTCGCAGTCATGCCAGCAGACACGTCTCTGGTTCTTGGCATCTCAGCCATGCAATCCCTTGTCCTCTGTCCTGCGTGGGCGAGTGTTACAAAGCTCTTTTACCAATGGTAAGTGCCCAAAGAGTGTCCCAATCTTCAGTCCAGCCTCCTTCTTCTGGGAACCTGTCACTGTGCCTCATGTGGTCTCAGCACTGGACCTCTCTCTGCCCACTTTCTGGGCAGGGAACTTGAGTGCACTTCCCTCCTGGCCAGTCATGGCATTTTCAGTCCCTGCTTCTGGATTTTCTCACTTCACACCCAGTGGACTGACAAAACTGACCAGCACCTCTCTTAGAGGGACACACAAACTCCAAGGATAAAAGAGCCATAGCAAGTAATTCAACTCCAGCACAACTCTTTAATAATAATTGTGTGATGATAATTTGTAATAATTATTATTGTTAGGATATCATTGTTCTGAATATTAATATGACACTTCAATTCTGCTGTTATTAGATTTTTTTTCTTTCATCATATACAGTACTTGTTTTTCTGACTGTTAATATAATAAATTCTGTTATAACATGATCTTTCAAGACTTTTATCATATGGGAAGTACAGATTTTAGAACTTGCAAAGTGGATCTAAAATACAGTTATATGGATGTGTGTGTGTGTGTGTGTGTGTGTGTGTGTGTGTGTGTGTGTGTATGAATGAAGGCCAAGGGATCTCTTAAGAACTGGTCTTAAAGAGTGCCATGTTTTCTCTAAAAGTTGGCCTCATCATTCTAGGGTTCTCTTTACTCACCACTTGTTACCAATAAAGGTTTAACAATGTTGACATCTATTTCTTAACTGTGGTCTATTGCATATCCTTAGAACCTTTTGATTTTATAGTTTAAGAAGTGGGTCTTTTTAGGTTTGAAGACAATTTGTCATCCTTATCAGGTGAATGTTAGGAAAGAAGAATCTCTTTCAACAAACTCCAGGCAGCATTTGCAATTTTTAAAGTTTTCTATTTCCACGTACACTTCAGGCCTTGCATATTCTTTTGTAATGACTTTATAATTGGTATGTTGTGGAACGTGAAGCAGTGTGCTCAGAAGGTAGAAGCGATCGTCGTTAGAACGCAGCTCAACGAGCCTGACCAGTGGACAGATCTTACTAAGAATAGGTTTTGTTTCACTTCAGGATCCACCCTGAAAAAAACCGAACACATTATGTTCCTATTAATAAATCCTTAGTTTTGTAAGAGCAGTAAACTTTCACATATTTATGTTCTTAAAAAAGTGAATCCAGCTATTCTGTTTTTGTGTGTATTATTTTACTCCGTGTTCTTGTGATGTGTTATATAACAATTCTTTAGGTGCGATTTCAAAGAATTTGTGTGGCACCGTCTGCCAAATATTCTAATCTTGCAAAGTCATCCTGGAAGAATCTCAAACATCTGAACTTAGCATTTGTTCTACTTGCATTATGAAATTTAAGCAGGAAGGAGTTAATGGTAAACCTTCCTTACCCTGCCCTTTAAGTAACTTTCGTGTTACTTAAGTGTAAGAGCATAATATAGCAGTGTGGAAATAGTTGTTTGCATATGCACCCCAGAGACACGAAGAATTTTAAAGCACCAATAATTAAAATCAACTCAACTCCTTTGTGTGGAGCCTTTATCTTTAACATTGTTTGGATGGCTTCTTGTCTATGTAGTCCACGGGGGATTTCTTTTTAATAACGAACATCTTCAAATGTTCTGTGATTATAGAAAATATGACTAAATAATTGGCATGTGGATATATATATAGCTCACTTAAATCTTAATTTCAGAACACATCTTTTGCTTTTCGTGCATCTCTACTATCTTAGTAATTTCATTGTTTCATAAAATCATTATTTTCCTCGTTGAAGAACACTGTCTTCTGCTTCGCAGGTCAGTTCCTCCTGGAAGATGCTCGTCTCGTGGAAGCAGCTGAGATGGCAACAAAAGCAGCCGAGCTAGACAGCACTGAGTTTGACGTTGTCTTCAATGCTGCCCACATGCTCAGGTTCGTCTTTGTTGCTTTGCTTTAAAGACTAAAGCCCCGGGCTAGAGAATGCAGGGCTCCCAGCATTTCATTTTTTTAAAAAATATAGAGGTTTTACATAATACACATTTATAAATGCTACTCAACATGAATATTTTACACAAATAACTCTGTGGTTCTTATTTCATGTTCTAAAAGTGAATTATGCTTCATACCCATCTAAAAATAAATCAGGAGTCTAAAAATCCATTGTATTCTATTGTATATGTAATGACCATGGCATATGAACAACCTTCCACATCATATGATACAACCTTTCTTTCTGATAGCTGGGAGGACTCTAAGCATTTGATGATTAAAATCATGGTTGTAGCCTTTAGCATGCATTGCAAATCAATGTAAAGAAAACGAAAACCTCACACCTGGATCCGTAGCTGTTCTCCATCGTGATCAATGGAGAAAAATGGAAGTGAGCAGGGATTTAGTCCACAAGCAACACTCACAGAAGCAGCAGTCAAAAAATCACATGACTACCGCAATGGGCAAATCTGCCGCACAAAACCTCTTTCAAGTATTGAAGCAAAAGGATGCCAATTTGGGAACTGAGATTTGCCTAATCCAAGGCTTGGAATATTTAATCCCCTTCTATGCATGTGAAAGTGAAGACAAGGCAAAAGGATGACCGCAGAGTCAGTGTTGCATTTGAATGATGGTGTTGGTGAGGAAGATTGAAAGTGCCAGGGTTTCCAGAAGAACAGACAAATCTGTCTTGCAAAAAAGTACATCTGGCATGCTCCTCGGAAGTCAGCGTGGCTTGGCTTCATCTGATGTTCTTTGAGCACAGTATCAGGAGAGGCCAGTCCTTAGAAAAGAACATCACGCGTCACGAAGTGGAGGGTGGGTGAAAATGGGGAGGCCCCTCCGTGGGATGGATTGACACTGGCTGCCACAGTGGGCTCAACCAGAAGAACAAGCGTGTGGATGGCGCGGACCGACCAACGCCTTGGTCTCTATTCCATAGAGCCACCGTGACTCGAAACTGATACTGGTCCCAAACAGCAACAAGATATGTCATTTCCATAGCATATGAGCTTAGACATTTTGTCCCTCCCCACAAAAAATGATTGGTCATAAAATATGGAAAGACAACTAATTGCAATTAATGTGCTTAAATAAATGTCCGCAGTCTGAAACATTCTGCCAACAAAATGCTGTTTCTCAACATTTGTGTATTGACAAGCGTTAGAGTAAATATGGGAGGTGAGCCATATTTTAATATTTTTGATAGAGAAGATTATCAAATAAAATATATATTTTAGACCTATAAATTTTTAACATTGCCCTGTAATTAGCACTACTGAAACATATTGAAGCCATACCTTTTAAAGTGCTTCTATTTTCAGAAGGATTATTTTGAAAACTAATCACAATTATGGTTAAAAAAAGTTAAAAAGGCAGACAATATTCTTTGTGAATATTAAAAGGCACTTAATACATCCAGAAATCATATTTTAGGCTACTTCTAAGAAACTTATTGATATCGTTGTCTCAGAAGCCCGATTTGCGCTCTCCCACCCTCTTACCGAACTTCGCTCTTAACATGGCTTACTTGATGGGAAGGCTTTCAGTTTGAACACACCAGCTGCTTTACTGGAGAAAGAAGAGGCTGTCTGCTCCGATAACAGTTTACAGTGTTGGAAATTCAAAGGAACAGTTATAGATACTCTGCCCTATAGGTCCAATAATGGAAAAATAATAGAGGAGTTCATTGAAATTTTCATCCCTTAAAAAGATGAACTTTAAAAGTGTGATTATAGATTCAGATATAGTTGCAATAAAAAACAGAGAGCTTCTGTACCTTCTACTTTGTTTCCTCCAATAGTAATATCCTACAGAACTATCATGTAACAACCACGATACTGGCATTGATACAGACTTTCCCGGGTTCACTGTACCTCTGTGTGTATGTACCTAGTACTATGCCATTTGATCACATGTATAGAGCACATAAAGTCCATTGGTGACTATGAACTGTTGAAACCCACCAGTAGTTACTAAATGGGAGATCGAGGAAGCTACCTGCTCTCATAAAGATTTAGTCTTGAAAACCCCTATATAGGGTTGCTGTGAGTTGGAGTTTGAATTACCTCAACAGGAGTGCGTGGGTAGATCAATCCTATACAGTTCTATATAGAGAGAGCCCCGATGGCGTAGTGGTCTCATAGTGGACTGCGATTTGCATGATTGGCAGTTTGAGACCACCAGCAGCTCCATGGGAGACAGACTGGACTTTGTACTCCCAGAAACGGTTACAGTCTCGAAAACCCACAGTGGGGTCGCATTAACTCGATGACTGTGAGTATTTATTTTTAATACATAGACAGCTGTATACATATACAGACTAAAATACAGTGCCTTCATTATTGATGTCCCTCATATGCCCCTGTCTCTCCACCTAAGGAACTAAAATTCAGTATAACATGTGTACATTGGTTTGGGTCTATCATTTGAGATTGTCATTAGAGCTGTATCTTAATGGATTTCTACTTGGCTTTTTATAAATTATGGATAAGAAATGTAAAACCTGGCAGAGAGAAAAATATTATACTCTGAAGTTTCCCTTGGATGCCCTGACTATCTGTTATTTATCACTTGTGAAGCACTTGTTTTAAAATGAACCCAAGGAAGCTGACAACTACCGGAGAAGTCAGGTGTTAATCAAGTACTGGTACATTTTTAGGATAAACAGCAGCCTCTCTGTAAGAAGTTTAAATGCAAGGGTAAATTTTAAAAGATACCTTAATTCGCATGACAAGGTTAAGTGTCCTTGGCTTTGTTTTTTTTTTTTTTTCAGGGAAGATAACTTTGTTTTTCATGAGTAAAATGCCAACCTTTAGTCACAATAAAGCATTTTCAAGGATAAGAACACACACGTTTTTACATCTCATCTTAAACGCAATAGGTACTTTCAACAGGATGTTTCACCATATATTAACTCAGTATATCAGATTCAAGGTTTACCAATAGAAACTCATTACAAGAACATTACAAAGCATGTCCTTGTTGAATACATGACTTGTAACTGTTTTTCCTTATCACGGTGTTAGAAACCAGGAGAATATGTCGGGTACAAGTTAGTGGGAGGGGAATATGTAGGATTATTTTTCAGCAACTTCTCTTTAACACTGTATTATGACAACGGGAACTTGGTCCCATCCTACTCGCCTTGGGGACCATCTCCAGTAATGTTTTCCCTTCTTGCTCCTGCTTTGGGGCTCCAAAAGTCAAGCATTTCTTAAGTACTTGTGTAAACTGAACACCAACCTTGTTACTAATCAAGATATTCAGTTTAGTTTGCTAAAAGGAGTAAGAAGGATTACCTGCTGCCCCTGGAGTGCAGCCTTATCAAAATGGTTAGCTGTCAAGAAGTTGCTTGTTGCTTAGTGTTATCTATTGTTTCGTGTGGGGATACCACAGGATACTAAATTGAATTTGATAACAATTTTTTTCCTTAAGAACTGTTATGTTGAATGATATTTAGAAGTTAAAATTGGCAAGGTCTGGCAAAGAGTTGGATATGAGGGAGAGATGTCTCTGTGAGTGTGATTTGGGTAGCTGGATTAATAGTTCCTTGGAATCCAAAATTAACTATTCAGTAAAAGCTTATAATTCATAAGGTTCTAGCATGCATGTTTAATCCACTCTCTCTTGCTAGTTCTCAGTGAAATGATCTAAAGAATAAATTGAGTTTAAAAAAGTGGCTTATTCCAAATTTTAAGAGATTCCGTCTGGATGAGACTAGATTGGGAAAAGCGAAGATCAAGGACCAGTCAAGGGCCAATCTGTATCTTGCTGCAACCTTCAAGAGGTGTTCCAGATGTGGAATCTTACATGAACATGGTTTCAGGTCATTGTGTTGACCTTGGTTTATACTTGGTAAAGATGGTCCGTTAGTTAAAAATCAGAGTCTCTAAACCCAAACCAAACTAACTGCCATCACGTCAGTGCTGCCTCATAGTGGGCCCCGTGGGTTTCGTGAGGTTTACAGGGGTAGAAAGCCCTGTCTTTCTCCTGTGGAGCTGCTGCTGTTGGTTTCCAACTGGCGCCCGGGAGGATCACAGTCAGCTTGGAACCACTGCACCACCAGGGCGCCTCCTAGTGGCCAATCTGTACTGTGGACATATGTGCTTCGCTAGCGTGGGCATTACCTCAGCTAATTTAGGGCTGCTAACAAGTGAAAAAAATGACACCTCAAAGGAGGAAAATTACCTGCATTTTCTATTCTCACCATTCTCAGCTGGTCAGGCTTAGAAAAGTTTCTGCTCCCTACAGGCAGTATTAAGAAAACTAGTCATAGCTAGAATAGTTGGAAATTAGTAGCTCCTTGGACCTGGGATTGAAATATGAGAAACTTTTAGTAGACTCATTTCAATTCTCAATAAAGGATAAGGATCATCCTCTGTAAGCAAGTATTCCACAATTTTCAAGTGTACGGTTTAGTTTGGTAGTTTAGCTGAGGATGGTCCAAGTAAAATGAAGCACCTAAGCATTTCGTGTTTCTTATAATGTCGTCTTTTGGTCCCTCCAGTAAGTCTCAGCTCAAAGGCACTCAGCTCTACTTCTGTGGGTCAGCAAGCCCAGCGCCACCAGTCAGTGCCCAGAGACACCCCATTTCACAAGCAGCCGCTCATGCAAATGCACTTGGCTGGACTTGCTCCGTGGACTGGGAAGTCCTCCACTTCCTTGCTCTCTGGCTTCTGGTTCGGCTGCTGCTGCTCTGCTGCCGTCACAGCTGTCCTCTAGATCCAGGAGGCTTATTGCTTGGAGATTTCAGGTGCAGAGCATGCTGGCTACTCCTGGATCTATATTGGCAACGAGATTCCCTCCACCTGCTTCTCCTGGGGCTTATTTTATACACAGAAGTGTGGCATTTCAGGGAATCCTGCTCACAATCACTCACAGGTGAATCCCATCAGAATCTCCCCACCTTCTTACCAAACCCATTCACGAAAAGGTCATTT